TTCAATAGACATCCTCGCATAAATAAGGGCTACTCATGTGACAAAGGTTTGTAATGGTGGGCATGTGATTGATAAACTGTATTTTCTTTCAATTAACGATGAGGAAAGGAAAACTGACTTCTGTGAAATGTAGGTATTGATGCTAATAGTAATAATAAAAGAAGATCCCTCCACTTCAGAGTCCCACTGAAACTAAAGGGGATATAAAAATAGCTTCTGCCATCTCACTATTGCTGCATCAGGAGAAGTAATTAATGCAAATCATTATAGTCCATTGACATGAGTCCATACACTGTAAGCTGGAGATGGAATGCATTCCATGGAACTAAACACCCACGTCTACACTGGCAGCTTCTTGCTCAAGAACTCTTTTGCAGAAGAGTTCTTGTGGAAAAACTCGTCCACAAGAGAGCGTCTACACTGGCATGTGCTTTTGCGCAAGAGCATCAATGGCAGTGTAGACGCTCTCTTCCTCAAGAAAGCTCTGATGGCCATTTTAACCATAGGGGCTTCTTGCACAATATATTCATGTTGCCTGTCTACACTGGCATCTTCTAGAAGATCTCTTGTGCAAGAAGCTTCATCCTGAGAAGGAGCATCAGAGTTCTCGCTCAAGAAGCCCTGATTTTCTACAGTACAATGTCCGTTTATTTGCGCAAGAACATGCGGCCAGTGTAGATAGGCGGCATATTTTTGCACAAGAGCTGCTGTTTTCGCACAAGAACACACCAGTGTAGACACTGTAGGGCCCATAAGAATGTACTTTTGCCCTTCTGTAAGGTGGAAGTCTTTGTGGAAGCTATAATGGAAACACCTGCTCAGTGTGCAGTAGTGGTCAAATAACAAAACAAAGTATTAGGATATATATCAAATATGGGATGGAAAATATTGCTGAAATATATCATAATTCTACTATATTAACAAGAAAGTACTCCCTCACTGGAGATACTATATTCAAGTTCTGCATCTCTATACTCAGAATAGGATTAAACATTTTTAGGGATAATGGGAATGTCTATATTTTGTACTGCACTAATGCAGATATTTTGTCATTCACCATGCAGTCTAGCATGTGGCATATGGACAGGACGACTTCCATGGGCTTTCATACCTGGGACCTGGAGCTTGCCTGGACCAGCATTGTCCTCACTTTCCTATTGTTTGCCTTTATGATCTCTATCTTGGTTTTAGTTGTTTCTGTCTGCTGTATAATTAATTTTGCTAAGTGTAAGTCAACTAAGGTGGTGGGGTATGATTGGTTAGGTAGTTCTGTTACAGTATGTTATGATTGGTTACTAAAATTATACTAAAACAATTGGTTAAAGTATAGCTAAGAAGGATTCAAGTTTCACTATATAAACTGGGGTCCAAGAAGGAGGAGAAAAAAGGAAAAGGGGAAGGGAAAGAAGAAAGGAACAGCAAGAAGGAGGGACAACCTGGAAGAAGAATACACCTCCAAGACCCAACCTAAGACCAGAGCTGCCTGGACTTCTCTGCACAACCATGACACGCAACAGCTAGGATCCCAAGAGACTGACCTTGCCTGGCCAACTGGGGAAGTCTGCCTGCCTTCATCAGGCTTGGAGAGCATGACACTGTGTGCTTAGCATGGATATTCCGCTTGCTTGGTAATTGTTAATAAATAGAGACTAAGAATATTAATGTGTAAGGTTTTTTCAGTTGCAAAAGATCCACATCATCTGTATCTTCTGCCAAACTGCAGCAACAGTATCATATATTATTATTATTATTCAGGAGATGAATTACCAAACAAAATGTATGCATTTTTAGATTAAAAGCACTTAAGCTATTCAAAGGCAGAACACCGTGTCTGTGTATATCACTCTGAGTATTCACACCTATTCCAAAGAGATTTTAGGCTGATTGAAAGGTTTTCCTTTTTTATATGATACTAACACCTTATTTTTTTCTGCTTTGTTCTTTGCCAATGCTGCTGAAAATCACTGCATTTTTAATCAACTAAATCTGTTAATTTGAATGAAAAAGTCACCTTGTGGTAGTTTGTTTATGTGTACTTTACATCTAATATGCTACTGGTTGAAAAATGCAACACAGCTACTATCTAATTAATTTCCTGGAGAGTCCAGCAGTATTGTTTATAAAAAAATCTCTGTATATCATTAATCAAGGTGTTGTACTGAGATGCATGTAAATACTTTAAACTAAAAAAAAACTTTTAAAGAAAATACCGTACTTTTATTAGATCTACAATAGAGAACTTTAATTTTATTAGATGACTTACCATGATGTTTATTTTTCAGTACCAGGAAAAAATAATTTAAATTTCAACAGTGTGCTAATTTGGAACTATTAATTCTTACAACAGGAAATTGAACTCTTCGTGCATGCTCAAATAAGCACAACAATTTCTCTGAGCATAGAATTATTTGAGATGCTAAAACAATTTAGAAATTAATCCCTTTGGAACAATATGTAATATCTATTATAAATACACCCAAATATATACTTACACGCTGTTCATTTACACCTACACTCAGAAAAAAACAAGTTTATTCTATATTAAAATCCTTTTTTAATCCTAATCTTTTTAATAAGAATCTTGCTTATGTCTCTTCACATAAACTATTTACCAAGTAATTCACTTATCTGAATATCTTTGATGTTCCCAGAACAGTTTGAGTAAATGGGGCAATACTGCGTATATAGTACATGAATCCAATACAAATATTATATTTCTTGCTTTAGTCATGTTTAAGTAGTAAGCTTTACAAGGTCACACTGATGTTTCAAGTTATTTATTGCAATAAGTTATCTTTGTAAAATTTTCTGCTATTGTCTTCAAGTCTGGATGTCTTTGTGAATGGGTAACTATAAAAGATACTACCATATACACTGGAAATCAGAAAACAAACAAACACTGTTTTTTGAAAAACACTGAGCTTTCATAACTGTTGTAAATTAACATGTGTCGCTCATTATGTGTGCGCACCACATGCAGAGTTGCTGGAAATTTTTCCCTTCGTGGTATCTCTCGGAGTAGCTGTCGTGCCTCCTGGATTTGTGTATGTGTGTACCAGTATAAGGAGTACCCCTGCTCAGCACCCTGTCAGTTCTCTCTCTCCAATAATTCTGACAGAGGGGTAGGATGGTGAGTCATAGTATGGATATGAACAGCAATAGCTGCTCTAAGAACAATAGCTATGAAAGGTTAGTAACCATGATGTCAGGGACAATGAGATGAGGTTTGGGTGAAGCAACTGGCAGTGGACTTATGAAATCAAGTTCAGTTGGCATGGGAGCATGAACAGAGCTGCCACTTAGAAGACCTGAAGCATGCCAAACAAAGCTGAAGCTATCAGGATAACCCTCATCTAGTCCTGCTTAATCATTAGGAGGACCTTGTGAATCAAGGGGAATGTGATGGGAAGGCTACAATAGATGGTCTGCCCACAACACAGCAAGAAGGCATCAGTGAGGGCGCTCCTGCTGAGCTTGCACAGTGAACTGATGGTAAAAGCAGCAAGGAATCTGGTGGCACTTTAAAGGCCTAACAGATCTTTGGATGGTATTTGATGTTCTGTCTGGTTGTCAAACAGAGGCCTTCATTTCTGGTGAGAGGATAAGGCCATGCTGATGTGACCCAACAGTGCAGTCTGGGCTCTCAGGAGATTTGATGACCCAAGTTGAATGGTGAGTTTCATGCAGGAGTCCCACAGTCAGAGTGTCCCTTGGTCCAAGACTGAAGATCAAGCTCTTCCCTGCTTGTTGATGTAAAACATTGAAGCCAGATTGTCCATTAGGATGTGTACTGCTTTACCTGAAATCTGCAGAAGAAAAACCTAGCAAGCCAAGCCTATTGACCTAAGTTACCAGACATTTGTATGCAAGAAAAATTCTTCCTAACACCAGTCACCCTGAATCCCAAGATTGTCAAGATGGGCTCTCCAGCCCAAGTCTGATGCATCTGAAACCAAGGTTACTGAACTTGCTATTGGAGTCAGGGTCTAGTGCTGGATGGGACAAAACAGTGGCTCATCTCTCAGACACCATTAAGTCGGAGAAGCAGGAAGGTGGCCCTGGTACCAGGGGAAATCCCAACAGTTTCTATTACTGCCTCGGCAGCAGTCAGTGGGTTGGTGGCCAAGCACCACTTGCGGAGCTAATACTGCCATCCAGTAACTTGCTACTTCTTCAGGAGGATGAAAGAGTCCAGCTTAGATTCTGAAAAGCTGCTTCCCTTGGAACGCATGTTGACACACTACTAACATCTGCCTCCAGGTGATGCTGGGGAGCTGTGACTGACAATGGGTCAGAGACCTTTGCAATGGGACCATGGAAAGTTTCCTATAGTTAGTACCATGATGTAGTTCACTCCTCGATCCTGTCTCCCGCCAGTCCTATTGACAGGACGAAGAGAAAAATCTCCAGCAGCTATTGAACATGGTGTGTGCACACATCTAGCATGGAAGGGACATGAGCAAACATGCGAGGAAGGAACTTGGATTTTTTTAACACTCAAAATTAAAGACATGTTGGAATCAGAGAAGTTGTGATTTTTGCCAATAATTTTCCCTGGTACCATGTACGAAAGTTAGGATTTCAGCACTGATTATTTTTAAATAAATCTACATTTGAAGGAAAAGGAAAATAAATGATGTACGGGTTGGGTTTTGCAGGAAGGCACATGTGTGTATGTGAGAATGCAAAGTTTTAAACAAGAATTTGAAAACTGATGAAAATTTAAAAAAATGTGTAGGGGACCACATAAACAGGCGTTGTGCACAAGCCATTCCTGCAGCAACCCAGTGAACAAAATACTACTTACACAAGCTGCAGAGCACAAGCACCACTGTGCAGCATGTAAACAAAGAAAACATATATTATTACTGAATTTAGCCATAGATGCATTTTGCTGACTCACTGAGTAATTATGTTATCAAATCAGATAGAAAAATGTAGTGCAGTATGAGCTCACTTATCACTTGCATTCAGTCTAGCTGCAGATCCATGAAACCTACCTCCAAAAGCCTATTGGTGTGTTCTTGAAATATAGCAGCATATTCCTTTATTTCCTTTTCTCTTCCATTTTTAGAAGCTTCAGTGAGAACTAGAAGTGGAATAGTAGTATCCAAGAAAGAGTCCGAGACATGATCTATAATAGCTTTCCGAAGCTGAAAAATAAAGCAGATTGTATTATATACTGTATTACAGACCACTACAGTAATTATAAAAACAATTATAATTGAATAAGATCAATATATAGTACAGGCAGTCCCCAGGTTACGTACAAGATAGGGACTGTAGGTTTGTTCTTAAGTTGAATTTGTATGTAAGTCGGAACTGGTACATATTGTAGGGGAAACTCTAGCCAAACAGTTTTTTTAGTTTTGGATAGCATAGGGAAAGGTTAACTCCCCTCTAATGTTTGTTTTGCTGTCTGTTCCCCTGTTCAGAAGATTTCACATCTATTTCTGTCCCTGTGACAAACTCAGGACTAAAAGAGTAACTCATCAAATACCAAACAGCTCTGCACCATGCTTTGAGCTAATAGCTTTATTTCCACACACCACCCAGGGTTCTAGGAGGAGGGTCCTTTTTTTGCTAACACAATGAGGCCAGCACTTTGTTTGTTTTGGTGGAGTCTTTGTTTGCCCAGGGAGCCCAGCATGTATAGGGGGAGGAGGGGCGGAGAGGCTGCTTTTGTCTGCTGTTCGCCAGCCTGTTGCTCAGGGGAGGGGGCAGCCTGTTGCTGGCAGGGGGGGGCAGCGGGCATGGGGAGGCACTTTTCCTCTGCCCGGCAGCTCTGCGGGATCCCTGTCCCTGTGGCCAGCTGCTGCAGGCAGAGGCCAGTTGGAGCCGGCCGAAGAGGAGGAGGAGGTGGATTCTAGGACCCAGGTGAGCGAGCCCCGGGGACGCTGCTGCGCTCCGGGAGCCCGGCATGTATAGAGGGGAGGAGGGGCAGAGAGGCTGCTTTTGTCTGTTCTGCAGCCTGTTGCTCAGGGGAGGGGGCAGCCTGTTGCTGGCAGAGGGGTGGGGGGGGCAGCGGGCGTGGGGAGGCACTTTTCCTCTGCCGGGCAGCTCTGCGGGACCCCAGTCGGAGCTGGCCCGAGGAGGAGGAGGATCCTAGGACCCAGGTGAGCGAGCCCCGGGAATGCTGCTGCGCATGTGCGGGAGTTGCCTCACCTCGTTCGTATCTAGGGATCCGACGTAAGTCGGATCCACGTAAGTCGGGGACTGCCTGTAATTGAAATCTGAACTATAAATTCCTAGTACGTCTATACATTTCTTTGTATCCGATAAAATGGGCAGTATATAAATGGAAATTATTGGAGCTACAGTTATTTACTTCAATCATACTTGTATATTTTAATATTTAGGGATAATTTTATTATAAAACATATTATTTAACATACACAGAGTATTATGGTCCCATTTCAACAAGCATTTATGCATGTGCTTGAGTCCCATTAAAGTCAATGGAAACTAAACATGTACTTAATGCTTCATTGACTAGAAATGGACTGCTAAATTGGGTCCAACTGATAAATAAATCAGTAAAATAAATCTATTCTTGTGTCCTTTATATTTTCACTTAAAGATCAGACTTCAAAAAATGAAGATATTTTATTTCTCAAAGAGCACATTCGTACAATGATGTTCAGACTCATTTATACTCAGTATCTTCAACATCATGTATTTTCATAACTGCAAAATTAGCCAAATGTTTTCTACCTTGTTTCAGGAGCAACAATACATTTTGATTAGCTAAATTGTATATGGCATGGTAATTATACCATTGAGATCCCTGATAATATCTGACAATATATTAATACAGCAAGGAGAATGATAAATAAGTCTGGTGTCCAATTTTCTCTATTTGCATTAATTGTTCTTGAACTTCCATCTTAAATTATTAAACAAGTAGCATTCCAATACAAATTAGTTCTCTTAAATTAGATTTCACATAATCTTATAACTGATGGTTGGGAAATTACTCAGAGGATATTTTCTAGGTTCTAAAGCTAAATGAGTTCATTGTAATCATATAATAGACTCTAGGAAGTACACAAATCAAAGCAATACATGGAATATAATTAACATTATCAGTTGTACTATGTTTCCCAGTGCAAAATATGCACTTATTTCTTCTAACCTCTTTTTATCAGTACATATAAAAGATGCTGATAGTAATATAAAACACACTGATTGCAGCAGAAAAGAAAAAGCATCTTAAAACTAATATTGAAGTGAAAAGGCAATAATTGATTTGCTGCAAAAGGAAATGTTTTTATATAGCATTTTAGTTCCAATGTCCCTGTGTGAAAAACCTCAGAGTGAGTAAGCACGCCTACGGTTAGGCAGATATGAAAAAATGAAGTCATTCTGATGTTACTCTTCCTCTATTTGGGGGAGCATATATACCAACAGAGCTAGCAACAGAGAAATATTGTACTTGCAAGACAATTTCTGAATAAAGATTCCGCTAGAGGTTGCACCTATATAAAATGCTCACTCGTTCAGCAACATCCATGGTGTAGAAGGACCACATACGTTTCAGGATCAGACAGTCTCAGTGCATTCTGCGGGGTGGAAGGGCCAGGAACATGGCACTATGTGGAGATGGTGTAGCTCGTGGCTTCCCTGGACTGTGGGGTGGAGGGAGGCAGCACAGTGTGCATCTCAGCTGGGCTATGGAAGGAGGATCCAGGAAGCCCAGTGTGGGGGGCAAGATGGGAGGGCAGACAGCAGGGGGGGCAGAAATTACTTCCTGTGGTCTGTAAAAATTCCTCATCCTGGACTAGTGAGGTTCCGAGGGTGCCAGACCAGGGAGGTCCAACCTGTACTGCCAGAACATCAGGTCACCCTACACCCTCTCCACACTGCCAGAGCCCTCTCCTGCTACTTGAAAAGAGTCTGGAAGTGAGAGAGCTCAGCCAATTCCAGGGTTCTAGTGGCTTTTCCCAGAATGAATTGTTAGCAGGGAGAATCTGAAAATTTTCTCCGTCATAGCATGGATGCAGCCTACTTTTCAGTTGGACCTGTAGTTACACAATACATCCCACCACAAGCAGTGTGTAGTGTAGAGGTAGCCTTGGAGTTCAGTGTCAATATACCTATAGGAGTCCAGCTTATCAGATCACAATGCAATACAGGTTGAACCTCTCTAGTCCAGCACTCTCTGGCCCAGCCACATCTGTGATCCGGCATGATTTTAGTTAGCCAGAGGTCCACTTATCATGAGCATGGCCAAGTTTCCTGCAGTCCCATGAAGTTTGTTTACAGCCACCAGTCCCAGCGCTCAGTATTCTGTGCTATTATTTAACTCTAATTTATTCCTAAATGACTTCTAAGAGCACAGTAAAGAGTACGAGTGTTGGTACTGCTGCTAGACAATATTGACCTTCTATGGTTTGGCAAATTCTCTGATTCAGCGTTGGTCAGGTCCAGAGGGTCCTGAACTAGAGAGGATCAATCTTTATTAGCATCTCCATTAGTACATTCAACAACTACATTTGTTTATTCTCCAGTTTATTAACTCAGAAAGGGGGAATAAGTTTCAACAGCAAGAGCAAAATATATAAACACCCCTATCCTACAAACACACATGCTTGATTTTATGCATGTGGATAGTGCCATTGAAGTTCAGTGGATCTACTCATCTCTTTAACATTAAACATGTCTGCATGCCTTTTAGGAATAGGATCTAAGCCATTACTATTTCAATTAAATACACACCAATCTACTTTATTATTTTCCTTATGAAGAAAGAGGTCCTGAACTTGCCAAATACTAACACTGAAAAGCCACAGCAGCATCATATACATGGATGCTGTTTCATTTCCTCTGACAGATTTGTTTTGGATCAGGTAACAGCCAAATCAAGCATATCATCTTAAAACCTGTGGAGTGCTCCAATTTCTCTCACATTGTACTAACGTATTCAGGAGAGCTTGATTTTTGCACTTATCAAGTCTTTTGCACTTACCAAGTAAAACACAAATCTCCCACTGATTTCAGCATTGTAGGAGCAGGCCTTTCAGAGCTTGTCAGATAATATTTTAATAGGTGAACACTTCATGCTATCATGCAATGCTGTACAAGAACACCATAAATGCCATACTACTACTAAGGCTCCAGTCCTCCATAGCACAGAACCCTGCACCAGTACAAAAGTTTCATTTTAGGAACAACTCCACCAATGTATCACATATCTGCAGAATCCAAAAGTTAAACCCAATTTTCTAATCAAGAGCTTATTTTAATCTCATGTTGCAGAACTCTTCTCTTTAGCTGCTTATTGGTTGATTAGTTTAATTAATCTTTCATATATGGAGGTTTTAGTTCTTGCAATACTTGGGTTCTGAAAAATTCTCTGTCCTGAAATACAGCCACTGCCATGTGATATATTGTGGTATATAAAAAGCTCTCAACTATTGTTGCTGATTTTCTTTTTGCGAGTTTTATATGGTACTTAGCTTTTATAAAGAGAATTCTTATAGCACCATAGACAGAAAGGAAACAAAATCATGAAAAACAAGGGATAAAAAGCTGAAGAGAAAAGAGGGCAAAAAGACCAAAAGGCAAAGTCCAAAAAATTATTTTGTGGTGTTTAAATTAGTATAAATGTCTCTTCAATATGATCATAGCAAGCAATTTTTTTCAATGGGTTTGTCATGATTATGAGGGTTAGCCAGCAGCCTGGGGATTAAGGGGTGAACTACACCTAGCCAGGTGGAGTGACCAATAAGAACGCAGGTGGGACTTTTCAAACTGGGACAAAGGAATTTGGGTTTTTTTCTCTTCTCCCTTTTGTCTCTCAGAGAGTTCTCTACAGAGAGGGACAAGCATGTCTCTCTCTCTCCAAGACACCATTCTTCATTTTCTGTAAGTAGGGTAAAGTTTAGGTAGTTAGGTTTTATTGTTTTAAGGATTGGGTATGGGATCTGAGATCTGGCACTGTGTAAAAGATGTTTTGGCTTTTCTTTGTAACTAAGTTCTAGGCCCATGTAGTTTCTCCATGAGTATATTTTGTTACCTCCCTATCTAGTCATTATGGTTGCAACAGGAATATTGTTGTAATAATAAAAGTTCTTTCTTTTCTTTTTATTAACCTGGCAGTGGTTAATTGTGTGCCTTGATTTTTATTTTAGGGGTAAGATTTCCCAAATGA